GTTTACTGCAAAGAGAGGTTAAGCACGCCATGCTAGAGTCCTACCATTGCACGCCTATCGTTCACGGATCGCCGATGCTTTGACTCCGCAGCGGGCCGCGTCCCTCGCCGGCCGGACGACGGTCAACGCTCCGCCGCCGCGTCCGACAACGGTGTCTGTGAACCCTCGCCGCTGGACGGCGGACAGCCTGGGAGAGTGGAGGACACCAGACAGCCGGGGAGAGTGGAGGACACCAGACAGCCGGGGAGAGTGGAGGACACCAGACAGCCGGGGAGAGTAGAGGACACCGGACAACCTGGAAGAGGCTCAGACGGCGGACAAGATGCTGCGGTGAGGGACGACGGACCGGCGCGCAGAACAGAAGACAACGAACAACCGGGGAGACGCTCAGACGGAAAACGAGATGCGGCGGCGAGGGACGACGTGCGAGCGGCCGCCGCCGGGGACGGCGGACAACCGGGGACGGCAGACGACGACGGAGCACGAGCGGAGAAACAAGATGGCGTCCGTCGCGGCGCGTCGACGACGGAGCGTCGCGTCGACTCGATCGGCGTCGTCTACGACGAGTCTTGCGTTCTCGGACGCGGCGGCTTCGGCTGCGTCTACCTCGGCCGATTCGTCGCCGACGGCAACGGCCGCCAGGTGGCGGTGAAGGTGCTCCGCGGCGGCGCGGGCGGCGCGTCGTTCGAGGCGGAGGTGACGCGGCTGCGCGAGTACAGGCACGCGAACCTGCTGCGTATACGCGCCTACAGCTACGACGGCACGCAGCGCCACCTGGTGTACGAATTCATGCCGAACGGATCGCTGCAGGACAGGTCGGTGGTGCGCGTGTTTGTGTTGTTTTGTTCATGTTGTTTCCATTTACGTTAATGTATTTTATGTGTTTTACATGCATATATGAATTTATGTATATTATATAGTATATCAGTATATTATATATACTGATTTATGCATCAGTGGCGCGCATGTTGTTTTGTTTATGTCATGTTCGTTTACATTACATATTTCGTATATGTTTTATGTATATATATGTGTCGGTGGGGTATGTCACGTGTTTGTTTGTTTGTGTTGTTTTGTTTATGTCATGTTCGTTTACATTACATATTTCGTATATGTTTTATGTTATAATGTATATATATGTGTCGGTGGGGTATGTCACGTGTTTGTTTGTGTTGTTTTGTTTTGTTGATTCTATTTCGATGCTTGTCGGTTGCATCTGTGGAGTTTTTCGAGTGAAGTTGTTCTAATCAATGCACTGAATTTTTCAAGTTAGCTCTGTCTTTGGCTTCTGGATTTTATAATTTCGGATAAATTTATGGCTTAAAACACTTCTCAGCAGTTCGTCGAACTTTATGTTTTGCGCGTAGGAGGTTGACGTTAAATTTTTAGGTTTCATTTTCCTGTTTTCTGGACTGCACTTCAGGCTGCGATGTAGAAACAACACGGAGGATCACCTTATTTTAAATTTAGTCATAACTATATTCTAAAGATGGTTTTTTAGTTTTGTGAATATATTTACGAACCAACATTTTAAGGGAGTATCTATTGTCTTACCATGAGACATATATGATTGTAAATATTGATCAATTTCAGTTTATCACTGCCTGATGATATCTTGTTTGCCAACTTTATTTTAATTGATAACGCTTGTTAACACTTAGTTTTGCCCCAATGTAAACCTATTATCTATCTATCTATCTCTCTGTGCTATTCGTCTGTGCTACACACCTGTTCTATCGTCTGCTTCACACCTGCTCTATCGTCTGCTCTACACACCTGTTCTATCGTCTGCTCTACACACCTGTTCTATCGTCTGCTCTACACACCTGTTCTATCGTCTGCTCTACACACCTGTTCTATCGTCTGCTCTACACACCTGCTCTATCGTTGCTCTACGACACCTGTTTCTATCGTCTGCTTACACACCTGTTCGATCGTCTGCTTACACACCTGCTCTATCCGTTCATGCTCTACACACCTGCTTGTCTATCGTCTGCTCTACACACCTGTTCTATCGTCTGCTCTACACACCTGTTCTATCGTCTGCTCTACACACGATGCTCTATCGTCTGCCTCTACCCCTGCTCTGTGAGCGTGTTAGACACGTCTGCTCTCGCAACTGTCTTGCCAGTCCAAGTCTCCCAGTTTTGCAGTGAAGTTCGATCCAGCAAGACGTTGGCACTACACGGAGGGAAGAAATAACACCAACATTGGCAAAGTGACATCAACACCAATAGAAATTCACACGCGCGCGCATACAGATGCACGCACGCACGCGCACGCATACTGATGCACACATGATAAAAAGCTCTCACGTCCTAACAATCTACTAACTCATCTGGGTACAGCTTTCTACTAAATCTATTTCTTCAATAAATTATAATAATTTATTAACATTAGTATTATTTGTATTATAAACTTTGATTACCCTAATAGTAATTTTACCTTTTAACATCTCTGTGCACCAGTGGTTTGCCCGGTTTCCCAGTGTGCAAAAAGTAGTTATGCCTCTGGCTGTTCCCACAGCACATTGACACAGCGCGTTGGCCACAGCAGAGGAGCCCCCCCCCCCCCCCCCCTG